TCCAAAACCAGAACGGGCCGTTCCAAACCAGGCAAAAGGCTTAAAAATCTTAGGCTGGAACGAGCCATTCCTAAGCCAGAACGGGCCATTCCAAACTACTAAATAGCCTAAAAAAACCTAGTTTGGAACGGGTCGTTCTAGCAATGCATTTTTGTGTTAGTCTCAACCCCAGAACGGGCCGTTCTGGTTTCAGAACAGGCTGTTCCAGGATAAGAATTTAACACATAATGTTCATATCCAGAATGGGTCGTTTCGAATTTGGAACGGGCCGTTCTGGCATCCTTCTGATGCCTATAAATAGATCGCTTGGGCACAGTTCTCAAAGCCTTTCGTCCAAGACTCCTCAAGGCTCGAAATTTCTCTCTCTCTCCCTCCTATTGTATTTCTTGAGATTTGTGAGGCATTTGTGTAGTGTGAAAGGTTGCCACAAAGCACCTAGAATTTCCATATTGGAAGATTTAACAAAGCTTGCTACGAGGTATTTCAATCAATCTTCTTCTCTCTCTTTTATTTCTCATTTTTGATAAGTATCGTTATAATAAAAGTAATCATGTAGATATTTTAGAGTTAATTGTTTAATTTAAATTTCAAGCATGTAAATAACCATCAATAAAAGGGGATTTAATATTTATATTATTATTGTTTATAATGTTAACTTTGTCATAGGGTACCGATTAAGGGCATTGTAGGGGTGTTTAATACCTTCTTTACACGTAACTGATCCCCAAACCCAATTCTGGTTATTAAGGCCATTATTGGACTTTAAAAAAACCTTTTCTTTTTCCAATGTTTTGAGTAAAACATTGATGGCGACTCCTAGGAACCTATTTTCAAAACCATTGATTAAGGATTAGTCTGGCGTCCGGACATTCCTTAATTGATGAGATTTTCAAAAGGATGTCTAAATCATAGGTCGCGAGATCAGAAATTTTCGAGTTGTGATAGTGAGTTAATGATGGAGTGACAATGCAAGTACTTAAAACATGATTAAGCTCTATGGGCCACCATTGGATAATACTCATGGACTAGTAGTTTCTGATGCAAAAGGGGTAAAATCATGGTCCTTTGTTTGAGAAAAAGATTGTTAAGATATAATCAAAGTTTCACATCATTTGAATAAAAGGGTGGATATGAGTTTATATACACATAGTATCTCCATTGTTAAGAGACCTTTTGGGAGATGACCAAAAGCAAAATCATGAGGGTTTAAATCTAAAGTGGATAATATCTTACCAATGTGGAGATATATGTCTGTATGAAAACCCCGGTGCTCAACAGATCCCAAAGCAAGTATCTTCACAAGCAGGGGAAAAACCAATTTCTATTGTTGCAAGGACAATCTACAAAGAAGATACCCTTTGAGTTGTCAAAAATATTGTAAGCACCAATCACTTAGTCCCATGCCTTTTAAATCCTTATATACTTGACCATGAGTAAATTTGTGTAAAACATTACAACAACTTGAAGAAGACCATACAATTGCATAATTTCTTGCCAAATTTGGTTTTGACTCTTCTAAAGTGAGGGACGTGCTTTAGAAGATAAAATATACTCACAATTGTTGATTATTAAATCAACGGTTAAAATTTGGAATAAAATTAAATTCTTGCAAAATAAAATCTAAAACCAATTTTAATATCAATCGCTAATCTTTTAATCAATGATATTATTACATTTTATTCTCTAAAATACAATTTTCTCGCTTTAAAGGAACTAGACCCCAAATCTTTGTCTTGCTTTCATTTTGATATATATGTTGCTATCTTTTTTTGTGGCTGCTTTCATTTTAACATTCATATGCTGCTACCTTTTATGTTGTTGCTAGTGCAGGACATGTAATAATGGCTAAAATTCTATGTAGCATATTTGCTTTTCACAACTCTAATAACTAGATTGTTCCACCAATTAAAGAATGTTTACAACCTTAATGCTGGCAAATTTGTTTCTAAGTTTAAATATCACTAGTATTTTTACACTATTAGAATTTCACTTATTACATGTGACTTTTCCTACGAATTTTTATGAAAAATTTGCAGGAAACGTTGTTCCTACAAATTTTTCTGCGAAATTTTATCTATAAGTAATACCTTCGTAGATAATATATTTTTGCAAATTTTAAAATTCGCAGGAAATTTTCCTGCGAAATTTCTTGCGAAAAAAATTTACAGGAAAGTTTCCTGCAAATTTTTTCGCAAGAAATTTTGCAGGAATATTTTTTAAGAAAAAAATTAAAGAAATTACTATAAATTCTATAAATAATTCTTCAACTTTCAAATACTTACAATGAATTCATCCGAAACATTTGTTTTCATGCCTTCAACATGTAATACATAATCTTTTAAATTCTAAGATTGTAGATTATAAGCCTAACACTTAACCATACAAATCAACTTGTAAGGTAAGTGTTGCCCAACTTATATACTCTTTAATTGTTTTATTTTCGATCGATGCGGGACTTGAAGTGTTTTTAAAATATTAAACTTATAAATTTAAATATATTTTTTTTATTTTTCCTGCGGATTAAAGTTTGCAGGAAAATTCGCAGGAAAAGTTACCTGCAAAATGTTTCTACTATTTAGTAAACATTACTTGCGAATTTATTTTTGCAAGAAAATCTTCAAGAAACAAAATAAAATTCTTACAATATTTTCTGCAAATTTTTACCATGGAAAAAAATTTCTATGATCATTAAAATTGTAGCAAAATTTGTAAGAAATATCTGTAAATTATTTTTCGCAGATAAATTCGCAAAAACTTTCTGCGAATATTTTTTTGCAGGAAAATTCGTAGGAAAATAATATTTGTCTAGTAGTGTTATCTGTGTAATACAGATAAAATATGTATTATATATAACTAAAATTTATAACAAACTATATCATAAATTGTATTTAAAATTTTTATAAATATTTTTTAAACATATAAATTATATTGTAGATGTATGATAAATAATTTATATTTAGTTCAATATTATTTTTATTTATTGATAATTTATTTTAAAAATACTAAAATTTAATTTACAAATAATTATGATAAATGAAAATCAAATTAGATAAAAAAGTTATTAAAAATTTGACCTTCTAATCAAAGAAAATTTTTTAAAAATATTCTTGTATAAAATAAATATATAAAAATTGATTCATCATGTAAAAGGTGTCTTCATGAAATTCTCAAGGTTATCTAATCTTCATGCATTTAACTAATAAAAACTTTCAATTACCAACTAAAATTACATATCATAATTTAATGTATTTGCCTTCGATTACCAACTACTTATCACTTTTCTATTTTTTTTATTAAACATATAACATTTTCTATTTTAGAGATAAAAAATAGCAACTTTTGACTTTGCTCACAGGTATTTTATTATCATCAAGTTGGAAACCAACAACAATAAAAACCTGTAAAGATTTTCTTTACGGGACACAATTTTTTTTAACAAAAATGCTAAAAACACCCATTACTAACCCTAGTTATACACATATAAACATGTTATATCTTGCACAAAATTTTTAACAAAATGAAATACACAATAGAATTTATGTTATATCTTACATATAAAATATGTTAATGTAGACATGTGTTGCACTGTACTAACCCTAGTTATACACATATATAAACATGCTTCCATAAGGATACTTTCATAAAAATTAAAATAAAATAAAATTAGGATATGTGAATATATAGAGAAAAGGGATGTGAGAATAATATGTCCTACATGTATTTGGAACGGAACCTTGTAGTTGATTTTGAATTTTCATACCTAAGCTGCTGGGAGTTCCATGCTTGAAGACTTAATGTTTTTTTATTTAATTTTAAAATAAACTTATAAATTATGGTTAAGTTTATTTAAGTATGTATGAAACAAGAAAATAATCTATTTAAGTATGTAATAATTTAGTGCCTCTGCAACATAATTGCTCAGCTCGAAACTGAGTGCACGTTGACAAATGTCTAGACATTATGCTAGCTAATTTTTAAAACTTTTAAAATACTAAACTGAAGAATAATATTTTATAATATACATTTTAAAATAAGTAGCAAATAAAATATATTTTAAGGAGAGATGGGTCTTAATGGGAAGGATGTGCGGTATTATAGATTATTGAAAAGTTGAAAAGGAAGACTATTGAGTGAAGTTTTATTAAATTCTAAGATCTGTCAGTATATATTGCACAAAAATACATCACGACATTGTGCCAAACGTATATATATTAAGTCGAGAAATCTTACAATTTAATATTATTTTTTCTTAACAATTATAAGGTTCAAAATGCTGTCCAATTAGACCAACTTGCATTAAGATAAAAAATAATTGTAATGATTATCCTATGAATCACCTAAGCCTATATTAACAAACTTCGTTTTTGTTTCGATTTCATAGTATTTCCATGTGACACGTGTTTTAACAACTCTTTATTTAGAGACGATGGAAAACAACGTTATTGTTTTCTACACCTTGTATTCTTCTCATGTAATCATGTCACTCGTAGCACTCCAACATATAATTTTATTCCTTCTTGAAAACCCAGCTTTACCAATAAAATTTGTTGAAGTTCTTTGGACCATGATGTACCAGAAATCAACTATATGCATACCGCTGAACAAGCAAAAAACCAAAGAGCCACGTGCACTTGTTTTATATGTGAAGCATGCAAAGTGGAGCAAATTATGAGACATCCTCTAGTGCATCAAAGTTTTGTCTAGCCAACTTTTTCTATGTTCACACTGGATTTTCATCCCACCTACCATAGCAGTACTTCTAACTCTAAGCTCAGTCACAGAATAGGACATGCTAGAACATGAAAAAGAAGGAAAAAGAAGCACTCTTTTTATGTAACAAAACCATACATTCTGCCTTTTAATAGCATCACACCATGGGATATAACCATGTATAGCCTTATCATTACATGTGGAATATGGTAAGGCCACAACCACCCCACTAGTGCTAAATTCACACCCCTTTTTCCCTTTAAGATTTGTATATAAACAAGGTGATGCTGGTCCATGGAACTCAGTGTGCTATAGCAAACCAAATTGTTATAGAAGTAGTAAGTGATTGATCAGTGTGAGCACATTTTGAAAGAATGGTGAGGGACATGAAGGTTAGAGCCTTATTTGTGACAGTGGTGGTGCTTGTGTTGGCATCAGAGGAGGTGATTTTGGAGGCTGAGGGTGCTGGAGAATGTGGAAGGACCCCTATAGGGTCTGCAGCAGCAAGCCTAAGTCCATGCTTGGGTGCTGTTAGCAATGTGAAGGCAAAGGTTCCTTTGGCATGTTGTGCCAGAGTTGGTGCTTTGCTCAGGACTGCTCCAAGGTGCCTCTGTGCTGTTCTTCTGTCACCTCTTGCAAAGCAAGCCAAGATCAACCCTGCCACTGCCATCACCATTCCAAAGAGATGCAACATCAGGAACCGACCTGCTGGAAAGAAATGTGGAAGTAAGTAATTAACCACTACCTACTTCAACTTCAACTTCATTCTCATCATTTTCAAATTTAGCATGTGTTGAAATTTTCTGTCTGGAAAATTTTATACTTAGTAAAATGAGAAGCTTTTTAGAGAGACCAGCATAAATGAAAAGCTTGTTTTCCTGGATTAGACATTCCAGAGCTAGGTTTTAAATTTCGCAGATGCAATCATTGTGGCTGCAGAAACTTCAAAAACCTTGATGTTGTTGTTGAAAACCGTTTGCTTAAACCCTTGTTTATGAAAAATTGTTTCAGTGATTAAAAATGACTAAAACAATGCCGGTCCAGATAATGTCAATGTATTTCAGCAGAATAATGATTAAATATGTGAATACTACTTCGAATGGTTATTCTCTGTTTTCTTTTTCTTTTTTTAAAATATTATAATCAGCTTAGTAGTTAGAATTTAGATAACATGCATAAAATTTTAGTTTCAAGCTCTAATGCCATCATTGAAATTTTGATAAATAAAAAATAATTCTCTATTTTCTTTCAAAAATAAGCATAAAATGGTTATTCTATGCTTGTAAGAGATAGGTAGAATAATGATTAAATATTTAACACGAACAGAACTTGCATGTGTGCAAATTCTAAAAACTTGTCCAGAAAAATAGAAGAAAATAAAAGTTTGCTAATGTCTTACTAATTACCAACTTTACCATTGAGATATGCTTGAATAAATTTATTAATAAACACTTATAGGAAAAATAAATTAAAAATATTTTCTATTAAGTTAAAATTATATATGTATAAACTAAAATTAATTTATGTTTAAACTAATTTGTAGAAATTCTCTCGTATTAATTTTTCTAAAATTTTATTTTTAATTTATACATAAATTAATTTTAATTTATAAAAAGATATATTTTTTTTATTCTTGTTTTCTTCTCCTACAAGAAAAATTTATACAAATAAACTTATATTATAACATGAGCATGACAATATTGATTTTCTGTCCTGTGATTCTTCTTTTGAGCAAATCCTTAACGTGGTTAATTAATTAACCTTGCCTTTTTCTCTTTACAGGGTACACCCTACCATGAAATCAGAACATTAGAATAATATGATGTATGCAGTGTTGACCAGTTTAGAGAGCTAAATAAGTTCAGTCACATGGCATCTTCTACCAGAAGAGTGACCTGTTTCGACTGTGGCATAATGTTTTCTGTGTATTGTTATTTGTTACAATCACATAGTTTGATGTCTTGTTTGTTATGATTATATTAATGATTACTGTTATCTACTCCAACTTACCATTTCTCCCCCCTTTCTTCATTACAATTTTCAAGAATTTATGATTATCTGTTAAGTGAGACCCTACAGACTACACTAGCTACAGTTGCAAATTTTGGGGAAATTTAAATGAACTTATGACATTGTTTTCATTATAAGAAATTCTTATGTTTGGAATATTAATCTGGTTCGATATAAATTAAAAGTACTATTGAGACTATTAAAAACAAAGAATTATTTTTGATAAAAAAAATTCTCAAAAACATTTATAAATTTGTATATAAACAAGTTCTATGTTGCTATTAGGATCAATAGACTTATATCCAAACAAGTTTTATGTTGCAATCAGGATCAAGATGACACACAAAATAAAAGAAAAACAATTGTATAACAGAGGAGAAACTACAGATTTTTTATTTTTATTTTTTAAAAAGGAGAGGTGGAGGGGGGTCTTAAAGATTCATTTACTAAATATATAAAATTAATATAACTTAAAAATTGTTTATAATACTCCTGAAAAGAAAAAAAAAAATTGATCTACAATATTTATTTATTATTTTATTTTTAAAGATTTTATTATTGAACAAGTGTTAATATTTTTTAAGTAAAGAGAACGATTAATTTTTTCTTTATCTTTTCAGATTTACAATGGTGGGTCTAGCGTCAAATACTGTGAAGAATCAAATTTACATAATTATTTTGGTAGAAAGTATTTAGTTGATTGAATTTTTAAACAAAAGATTATTTATTATTTTATTATTATTACTATTTTGATTATATTTTATTATGTTGGTTTTTTTTTTTTTTTTTAACTATAGTTAACTTGAAAATCTAATGGCAACATAAGATAAACAATCTATTAGGTAACTGTCCTAGAAAGTTTTGTAATAGAGAATTAGATTCTTGGTTCATCATGACAATTTCTAAATTTATATATTTTTTTTATTATTGGTATGCATTTTTCATGTCAGCTTGTCGAATATCAATTACAATGATAGGCCACCTATTTAATTTTTGGTGTGATAGTTGAGTAGATTCGAGACTAAGAACTATATATAGGAGTACGTTTCTTTAAATTTATTTGGTTTTATAACTCATATTTTATATTAAATTTTAATGAATTAATTGTTAAATTTAAAGTTTTTAATATATATATTAAATTTGTAAATTTTTTTGAAAATTAAAAATTATTTAATACTTTGTTTCATTAATTCAAATAAACGTAGTATCAAATGAATTAATAAATGAAATAAAGTATCAAATAATTTTTAAATTTTTTTAAAAATTTGCATACTTGATCTATGTATTAAAAACTTTAAATTCAACCGTTAGTTCGTCGAAAATTGATATAAAACATTAATTATTGAATATAGTAAATCTAGGTAGACTTGATTTATGTAGTTGTATGATTTGTTTGTTTGACATGGAAGAAATTAACTGTCTAACCCCATAAATATTTGAAATCCAGATATAAAAGATTTATTGAAGTAGGAAAATAGGAATTAGAGTTAAAAGTTAGATGTAAAATCCAAAACTTAGGATGTCTAACCCCATAAATATTTGAAATCCAGATATATATAAAAGATTTATTGAAGTAGGAAAATAGGAATTAGAGTTAAAAGTTAGATGTAAAATCCAAAACTTAGGATGAGGAATTATTTTGATAAGTTATGATGTGTATAAAAGATATATTTTGTAATTTTTAGAAACTTTGTATTAAAACTTTTGTAATAATACTCATATATAATATAACTTATTTAGAAAATTTACTTGTTTATTTTAGTATCTTTTCTATTCATAATTATATAAAAAACTTATTAACATCATTAATTAAATATAATTAATATTTGAAATTTACAAGGGAGTTACATATAACATGTCCATTTTTTTTCTTCACAAAAGCAACAACAAACACAAAAGCGTTGTGGATGTACTTCATGCCTTTGTATCCATGACCAAATTTGTTGGGGGAAATTCCTCTTATACCCTAAATCTTATCCAAGTTTTCAAATCCTTGATGAACTTGTGAAAGACGAGTAAAGCAAACTACACGAGGTACTTTGTCTCCCTAATGTTGTCTCCTTCAATGTTTCTTTTTGGAGCCTTATAAGGAGATCCTTTTATGAAGATTAACGAAGCCAAAAAGAAAGTATTTGTGCGATTTGACTACGAGAATCAAAATGCTCATATTTTTTAAGAAATCATGATGTTATACATATCCAACTCAAGTCACCTTGATTAAACGTTCTTGGTAAATGATTCTAATACTCTTTGTAACCTTAGTGTTAGTGGGTTTTGAGTGATCCTATAGTGTTTGCAACTTTCATATCCTCTCCTTTGTTAAGTCTTGGGAGGCTTGGTTGAAGAATTCTAGTATGTAGAGTACTTAATAGTTGATAAGCCTAAAGAAGTGATAATACTTGGTTGTATTCTTATTTAGCAGTGAATTCCTCCCAAGTAAAAAGAATTTGGATGTGACTCTTAAGGCTCAAAAGTGAACTAATATAATCTCCTTTTGCTCCTTTATTTATACGTTTTTGTTTATTAATCAATGTGGTTAAAAAATGTACTATTAAATGTTTAACCCCACAAGTGAATCCCGATACGGACTGAGATACACAAAATAACATACAAAAAGGAGGTTTATGCGTTTCAAAAATAATTTTATTTGAGTTAGAAGCATTTATAATTTAGTGAGATGATCTATCCCAACAAGAATTTTTATGGACTCCTATTTGAAGCCTTTCTTAAAAAATAAAATAAAATTTAAACTTGTAACCATTAAACACCATTAGTATTGGTTAAGATAATATTAGAGGTAGAGTGTTGGAAAAAAGGTAATAAAGAAGGAGGTGTTTAAACATCTTTGTATTCCCCCCCTAACCGCTGGATACAGTGAAGCTAATTTCGTTAGCTGGATAAGGACACTGACGCCATGCCAATTTTTGTATCATGCCTTTGGTATTTTTGCTCACATCAGCATGGAAACAGAATTTTGTGAAACCACCATCTTTGTAATTTCACTCTCCTTATTTTACTTGCACCTTGCAACCCAACCTATAGTATCACAATATTAGAACTCTCCTTTGTAATTATGTTATTTAATTAATATCACATTAGAACTATCTTAATAATTTTAATGACTAAACGAGCACAATTAAAAATTAGGAAGTAAAATTACATACTAAATATCATTAAGTAAAAAAATTGTAATTTATTTATTTCCCCTTTAATTCAATAGTTTCACATATTTTAAACAATAGAAATATTATTTAATTCTCTCCCTCTCTTAAGATGTGTTTGGACTTTGGAGAGAATGTATGTTGAAGTGAGCAATTGTTTTTGTTCCGGGAAGAGGGCCTTGAAAAGTGAAAAAGGAGTGTCGTTTAGTGACAACAAAGTGTTGGAGTCCACCCACCGAGGAGGCAGGTGAGAGAGTGTGACACGATGCGCATTGGGCACCTTCCTAGTTAAACTGAGTGAGTGAGTGAGTGAGGTCAGAACTCAGAACTCAGAACTCAGAACTGAGAACTCAGAACTGAGTTACCATTAATCCATCGAGTTTAGTATCGGAAAACGTGCCTCTCATATCCATATCCATATCCATATCCATTTCCAAATGTCCTTCAACCTCTCTCTCATGCTCCATTTCTAACCCAACATCATATGCTTTGTTGGTCTTTCCGACGATGGATTCTGTTCTCTCCATGGACACCAACACTAACGCCTTCCCTCATTCACCGCCGCTACCAGAACCAGACATTTCCTCGACGCTACCCACGCCGCACTCACAACCTTCGATTTTGGTCCCAAAGTCCGAACCCTTCTGGGACGCCGACGACCTCTCCGCCGAACTCGACCTCCTCTCCGAGTTCAACCGCGTCTCCGAGCTTTTCCATTTCGCCTTCGGAGCCACCCACGTTGATTTCCAACCGCCCAATGTTTCATGCCCCGACCCCGACGCCGACGCAATGGTTCCGCCAAACCCTAGCGAGGTGAATTCGGTGCCTGCGGACCCTAATGCGGGTTCCGCCGATGATTTGCGGGCGATTGTGCCGGTGCCTGCGGCGGGGACGGTGGCGGTGGCGGTGGCGAGGCGGGGCAAGAGCCGGAAGAAGGAGCTCGTGAGGGTGTCGAACATGTCTGCGAGGGACGAGGCGCAGTTTCGGGAGATTGTGAGGAGGACGCGCCTGCTGTACGACTCGCTGCGCGTGCTGACGGCGGTGGAGGAGGAGAAGCGAGCGGCGGCGGCGGCGGAGACGCTGGAGGGAGGCGGCAGAGCGCGGCGGCTCCGCGGCGACGCGCGAGCTGCGGCGCTGATGCGGCAGCGTGGGCTGTGGCTGAATCGCGACAAGCGGATTGTGGGGCCAATTCCGGGAATCTTTGTTGGGGATTTGTTCCTTTTTCGAATGGAGTTGTGTGTGGTTGGGTTGCACGGTCAGGTGCAGGCTGGGATTGATTATCTCCCTGGGAACATGAGTGCCACTGGGGAGCCTATAGCCACGAGTGTCATTGTTTCTGGTGGGTATGAGGATGATGCTGATGATGGTGAGGTTATTGTCTACACTGGCCATGGAGGCCAGGGGAAGAATTCTTCCAAGCAGGTTGCTGATCAGAGGTTGGTGTCTGGGAACCTTGCATTGGAGAGGAGTAGGCATTATGGCGTTGAGGTGAGGGTTATTCGCGGGATTAGGTACGAGGGGGGTGTCTCTGGTTCTGGTAAGGTTTATGTGTATGATGGAGTTTATAAGATTGTTGATCATTGGTTTGAGTTTGGCAAGTCTGGTTTTAGAGTTTACAAGTTTAGGCTTTGTAGGATTCCCGGGCAGGCTAAGATGGGTAGTGCTGTTTTGAAGGAGGCTAGGAATATTAGGAGGAGTGGCTTGGATTTTAATCATGTGTTTTGTCTTGCTGCTGATATGTCCAACAGGAAGGAGAATGTTCCGGTTCGGCTTTTTAACGACATAGATGACGACCGGGGTCCTCTTTGTTATGAGTATCTTTCCAGGACTAGTTTTCCGCAGTTTGTGTTTCACCAGAGTGGGAAGGCTACTGGTTGTGATTGTGTGGATGGTTGTGGTGATGGGTGCTTCTGTGCTATGAAAAATGGGGGTGAGTTTCCTTATACTCTTCAGGGGCATCTTGTGAGGGGGAAGCCTTTGATTTTTGAATGTGGCCCTTTCTGCTCTTGCCCTCCTCATTGTCGCAATCGCGTTGCACAGAAGGGGCTGAAAAATAGGTTGGAGGTGTTTAGGTCTCAGCAGACCGCTTGGGGAGTTAGGTCCTTGGATCTTATTCTAGCTGGTGCTTTTATCTGCGAGTTTGCAGGGGTTGTTTTGACTAGGCAGCAAGCGCAGCTCTTGACAATGAATGGTGACTCGTTGATATATCCTAATCGGTTTTCTGAAAGATGGGCAGAATGGGGGGATTTGTCTCAGATTTACCCACAGTATGCGCGACCATCATATCCATCAATTCCTCCTTTGGATTTTTCTCTGGATGTGTCAACAATGAGGAATGCTGCTTGCTATATGAGCCATAGTTCAACTCCAAATGTCTTGGTTCAGTTTGTTCTGTATGATCACAACAATTTGATGTTCCCTCACGTTATGCTTTTTCCAATGGAGAACATCCCTCCCATGAGAGAGCTCAGTCTTGACTATGGTGTAGCTGATGAGTGGACAGGCAAGCTCTCTATATGTAACTGAATGGATAATACACTTCTAATGTTGAAGCTGAGTTTTGGGCACAGTAAAATGAGGTAAAGTCTAGTTCTACTATTCAACTCTATTGTTTTCACCATTATCTTCCTTTTGATTGCATCTTACTTTATATCTGGTACTTTGCTGTCTCCAATGCAAGCTCTGTTTACCATATGAGAATTAGTTATACACATAAAAGTGCTGTGATATTTCAAAATTCCAGGTGTACTTTGGACTGGCAATATATTGTACTGAGGTTGATGATTGACTTCTTCTGTTTGAGTATTTTATTGTAGTCTAATTTACAAACAGATCTGTATAATGGTTGCTCTGATATATGAGCCTTTTTGTGTAGTTTGCTCTTGATCTAGCAGATTAAAATTGTTTTCTGGTATATGCTCTCTCCATTTATGTTCACACGTCTTTCGTTGTAGTCTGATTTGCAAAGTGCAAAATGTATATAGGATGTGTTTGATACATGGCTCATCTAATTTCCCAAGTGCGGAGAATGTTACTTGTATGATAATTGGGTATGAAATTTATTTTGGACCAGATGACATGATGTAGCCACAACAATATTGCGGTTGTGGCTGTGTCCACAACCACACCACAATTGCACTGTTTTCAAAAATCATAGGAAGATCTGCGACAGTGTGTGAGACGACCACATTAGGCCACATGTTTCGTGGTCCTCACACAACTAGTTTCTCATTCTTTATTTTGTAGATTTATATGGAGTGATGAAGGTTAGATAATAGTAAAAATGATAATGGGCTGGTAACAAGGGAGAGGTTGAATTTGGGAGGGAAAATAGGAGACATAGAATGTTTAAACTAGTCTTGATGAATTATGTTTGGTGTGAACATAAAATAAATTCATGCCACAATTATCACAATAAGCATTACAGCAGTTGTAATGAATGGAATTGCAATGGCCACAACTGCGACCACAGTTGCGATTGTGATCGCAATTTGGATCCATGCCTCACACTAGATGACAATTGTGCCAGTGTGTAAAAGATGACATCAAGGGCATAGTGGGATGGCCACTATTCTAAATTAGATAATTTATACTATAGACTTATAAATTCTCAAAAAATAAAAAATTACTCAAAATTTATGGCATTTATAATTTATAATTAAGAATTAATAAAAGGTCATAGGTTGAGCTAAACATTCAAGTAAATAACGGTAAAAGTCTAGAAAGTATATATAAGTTTAAAAGGCATTCATATTTCACATTTCATATTTCATATACAATATATAAGATTGTTTTATAGGTTTGAAATTGAAGCCCATAACATATAAGGAAAATATGTTTTTCTGTAATTTAAAAAAAATGGCAGAAGAGGAATAAGTCAAAGGTTATTGTTTGTGATGGGAGGTGTAATATGGGAAAAGTAATGTTGATGGGATGACTAATGTGTCAATGTTACAATTCATGTTTCAAATTAATATATTTAAAGCTCTCTTTCGTAGATAATTAAGATTTCAAATATATAAAGCTACAAGTTTCTAAATATAGCACCACCATGGTTGTGATAGTGGCCGCTACAGCTGCTGTTCGACAATGTGCTGCTATTTAAAAATTTTAGTGAATCATGACTATTCCACACCACTATAGCACTTTATTGACAGTTATGGTAACTAGTCCTTCATATTATATGCAAGTCCTTTATTATCTGATTATTTGACTTTATGGGTCTAGTACATTGGTTTCAGAGGTTTACTGTCGTTTTCTCAGAGTTGTGGTCTCTGGTGCTCTCTGGAGTTACTTATACAAAGGCAAAGTACTTTTCTTTGTTTTAATGGTTGTTTCACTTTTTCCTTTTTTGTTTTGATATCCTGATATTTTATCTAGTAGCCACATGACTACCAATTGATATTTTAATGTCTAATGGGGCGAGTTTAAATTGGATTTCTACTTTGTGTTGGGCATAGTAATATGTTCCAAAATGTATTGTTTTGGTCAATGTTGTTAAAATTGTGATCTAAATCGTAAGACTGTACGATCTTATGATCCTGCTACCTTGTCAAGATCTGTATTTCACCTGAAATCACAAATAGGTAAGATCGTATTTGTTAGTAATCTCACATTGACTAGTGGTAAGATCAAACTAGAGTATATAAGTAGAAAACAATTCTCACTTTACAAACCGGTTTTGTAAAGTTGAGTTAGTTCAAATCTACATTTTAAGTTGGAATTAGCGCTTATTTAGCGATTGTTTCTGGATGTTATTGAATCATCCATAGATATCTAGATCTTTAAAAACTTTATGCTCAAGGTCTCTAATCCTCGACATGAGGGTGATGTCTTAGAAATTTTACATCAACTAGTGGTATGGTTAAAATAGAGTATATAAGTGGAGAATAATCTTCATCTTATAAGGTAGTTTGTAAGATTGAGTTAGATTGAAACTCCCATTTTAAAGTAGTACAATAGGTAGTCTTTTGAGTTTGTCGGTCTTGATATTGGAGACTTTAGGCTGGGTTGTGCAACCTGGTGTGCATAAACCCATATTTTAAAACCCAATTTTGTGCCCTAAGTTGTCACTTTTGATTCCTAAAACAGACCCCATCTCTCTCTCAAACCCTTCACATTTGTGCCCCAGCCCTTTTGCAGGTCACTGCATTTCATTCTGAACTGTTGTTCATCTATACTATCTTGCACATCTGCCTTCCCATCTCTCTTAACCCTCTCTTTTGCTGTCTTGCTGATTCCCTGCACATCTTCACACACCTTCCCCATCTTTGGTGCTGGTTTAGTGTTTCTGTTTGCTTTGTATCACCAAAAAAATGCTTTTGTTGGGCAAGGTGGTATTGGGGCAGGGTCTGGTGGTTATTTATATGACTGATTGAATTGGTTTGGATGTTATGGTTATGAAATTTCAGTTATAAATTTGCTTAAATGTTGTTATTTATAGGCATTCTTTCCTATTTTCTATGTCCGTATATTTATTTATAATGTATTAGTGTAATTTTTCATTATGATAAGATCTTATAAGCCTACATTTTAAGATCTTGCAACCATCCTCTTGATTTTGACTAGGATCTTAATCTTGACAACATTGGTTTTGATATTCATTTGCAGACTTAACCATGATTTTCTGAAGGTTTCAATCTCACCAAATTTCTTGGAACTGTGGAAGTGCTTTTGTCAAGGTATTGAAAATCACTTGATAATTGTTATATTATCCTGCTTTTGTCTAACCCTTTTTTGCTAGTGCATAGCATTTGCTGTGGTGATGAAGAAAAGGATTTGGAGTTCCGTGTGCTTAAATCTTAAACACTTTTTTGTAATTATTCTGTAGTTTGTTGATGTTGGGCTCTTGGGCGAAGCATTTGCTCACCACCTTTTCTATGCAATAGCTCGGATTCAGTAAATTTTCTGTTGTCATTGTATATAATGTAAGTCAACAGCTTGTACAGGGATGATGTCAGTGGCTAGCAATGATGGGTAAATTGCAGCATTTTAATTGGTTTAGAAGCAAATGAATAGAGTTGTTTTTTTTCCTACAGAATTTGCCGCAAATATCTAACTTTTTTTTTTTGGACACTGGCAGGTCAGTTTTATTGACTTAGATAGCCTCAGAGCGTCCTAACATACTTGATATTAGCATGAAGTTGGTTTTAGCCTGAAAGATTTGGGTATTATTGCCAATGTGTTCTTATGGTCATTGTATGGTAAAAATTAAGGATGAGAATAGGTTGAGTCTTATAGAGAAATTTATGATTTGACTTATTTAATAAAAATGATAAGTTTAGATTTTTAAGAAAACATTTATTTTAAAAGAATGGATTTAGAATTGTATAAAAAAAACTGTTAAGCATGATAGATTAGTTTATTTATCTATATAATAAAATTATATATATATATATATTACATTATTAACAATATAATTAAATAAATTTGTAATATAAAAAATAAAATTAATATTTTCAACATTTTTACTAAATTAAATGTTTTACATTATTTTTTTTATGAAATCAAGAAATAAAAAATAAATATAGTGGCATTTTTGTCTTTTCTTTTCTTCCATCTCTAATGTTGTTTATTTAAAATCTCAAATGTGCATAAGAGAATATTAGTGTACATATTCTTTTTATATTAATTTTTTATTTATACAAATTTTAATAATAATATGATGGATTATTCTTTTATCATAAGAATTGAAAAAAGACTTGTTGATTTATTTAAAATTAAATTAATTGGTCTATTTAAAATTGTTAGTGTAAAATAGGTTTTAAATAGACAGATAGGGTAAATTAGGCTTTAAAAAAAATGGATAGATAATAATTTAAACTTTAATTTTATAGATTATGTTTAGTTTGCATATTTAAAGTCTGACATGTTAAATTTTCATTCCTAATGAAAACTAATCAATTCTATGCATTTGCTTAAGAAGAAAAAAAGGCTTAAAATGAATAAGTCATAGATCAGTTTTTTTTTTGTTTTTTTTTTATAAGAAAAATATTGTTGAAGGACAACCAAACAAATGCATGAGAGGATGTCATTCATTCATGGCTAGTAGTTGAATATTCAGTGACCAGTCCTTATTTGTGACATGATGCCTTAACTGAAATTTTAACTATCTTCGACTTTCAAATTGAAAATTGCAATCAGTTATTAAAATTAGAAGTCCAGAAAGGGATGATTTTTTTTTCCTCTAATTTTTGTAGTCTTTCCAATCCTTTAGGGAGGGGGTATATGTGGTGCGATCTTACAAAATGTGTAAGTAGACAAGGATAAATTGCACAAATTAATTTTTTTTATTATATAGAATTGGATTCTAAAAAACAATAAAAAATCTAAGAGTCAGATGAAGTACAACTTTAAGGACAAAAGAGGTGCTCTCTAGCTCTTCGAACAAAATTTAGAGTATGAATTTTATTTTTATTTTTCATATGCATATGTTGAAAAAGAGCTTGATATAGAAGTTCTGCTGTGACAAAATGTTACAAAATGAGTTAGTTATTCATTTGGAAGATACTGCACAAGTGTTTATTTAAAATGGTAAGTGTTATTGGAATGAAATTGTATAAGTACTTTTCTTTGACAAAATCACTAAAAAGGGTATATTTTTAAAATTATTTAATTTATATACGTGAATACTAAAACAATATGTATTCCTTCTTTCTAAAGAATGTTTAGGAATCCTATAGATGATTTTTTTTTTTTTTACTTTAAAGTATTACTTGAAATTATTTTCTCTCAACATTTGTTTTATATTTTTTTCAGGAAAATAATATTCTAATTGTGTTTCATAATGAGAAAATAATTGAAGGGAAATAAAAAGAAAGAGAAGTGAAAGAAGTGTGAAAAATGCAGAAAAGTAAATAAACAATAAAGTAAAAAAACTTTAAAAAAAAAATAGAAGAGAAATAGAGTGAAAACTAATTCTTAAAATAATAGTTTTATTTAAAAATAATAAATTTAAATGATTTATTATTATAATTTTATTTTATTTTAAAAATATCTATAACTAAAAAATTATTTACATTATCATTATTTATTATTATAATAATAAAATAAATTATTTATTATTTTATTTTTAGTGTGTGTGCACGGACGTATGTGTGCATGTGTATGCAAGTGTGCGTGTGTTTATTATTATAATAATAAAATTATTTTATTTATTATTATTATAAAGTTATTTTATTTTAAAAATATCTATAACCTAAAAATTATTTATATTATCATTATTTATTTATTTATTGTTATTATTATTCTAAAATAAATTATTTATTATTTTATTTCTAGTGTGTATGTGCGTGCGCTTACGTGAAATATATTGTCAAATTAGTGAAATGACATATTTTAATAATTTTTAGAAAATATAAATTAAATTGAACCAATTGTTGTATTTAATGTTACAATTTCAAATGATTTAAACTCTTTTGTGTATACTATCTAGTAATGAATATTTACATGTATGTTGAATAGGTGATGAACTACCAAATTATTTTAGAATTATATGCAATTCTATATACTTGATAAAATCAATAATATCATCAAATACAATAGTTAGATTGATTAAATTTGTATTTTATAAAAAATTATTAAAGGTGTCATTTCACTAATTATAAAAAAAAGATAAACACTAAAAAGGCAGAGAGGGGGGGGGGGGGGGGGGGGGGGGGGTTTAAATAGTTTCTATAAAAAATTCGCATTTTTTTGAGTAGTGAAGCAGTAATGCAAATAGTAAAAAGTGCAGGAGAAAAGGCAAATGAAACACATAATAATTTTTATACCGATTCGTTTCAACTACTAAAACTACGTTTATTTCTTAATCCATTTAGAATAAGTTTCACTATTTTTATTGACTTTCTTTGTGATTTTAGAGATTTGTTTGTCCTTGTTTCTTATGCACAACATGGCTTTATTCACTTTAACATATTTGTGAATTTCAATGAGCTTTTTTTGTTCGATCTATTAAGGAATCAATTAGTAATACATCAATTAGTCATTAATCATTATAGATGACATGCATTTTAGACTTTATGAGGTAAAATTGTATGCTTCATCTAATTTGTATTTTTTAAAACTCTTTCCTTTTAGAAAAATGTTCTATTTGTTATCATTACATATGTCTCTCTTCTTTCTTGAGCTTCAAATATTCTTACATAGCAACTTTGGAGAAGATGATTGTTGCAACATTTTGAGTCTAACCTACAAGTTTGTTTCGTCTATCTTCAACATCTTTCCTCATGATGGGAGGTAACCATAGAATCATTTAATGCAAACATTAAATTTATTTCACTAAATGATATATCTTATCTGATCAAGGAAGTTATTTATCATCTTTTCAAACCAAATGGAGCTTGTAGAAATATTGTCAGCATAGATTAGCAATAACAATGCCTTTATCTTCTTTTCTTCGTGATTTTAGGGATCTTCGTTCTTAGTTCTGACGAAAAGCATGATCTTGTTCTCTTTAATAGATTTGTGAGTTCTAGGATGAATTTCTAGTTTGATTTGTTAAGGAATAAAACATTCAAATGAATTTTGTTGTTAGTCTTAATAGATAATGAACATTTAATATATATGACACAGACTATCGTCTGATTCACATCGTCTTACAAACGATTTGCGTGTTACACTTCCTCTAATAAACATTTTCAAAGAAATTTTCTCTTGTAAAAATTAGTTTTGATGATGTTAACATTAGATTTGTATAGTTTTGTTTAGTTTGCTTCATTCATTTTGTATTTCATGGCCTATGTGGAAAAGGATATTGTATTGCTTGTTATTAGACTTAGGCTTGAATGTGTTTGCTTATTATGATGAATTAATTTCAAAATTACATCTTGTTTTAAAAAGCATAAAACTCATATTTCAACTTAATGTTTCTCATTTCATGTGAAAACATAATGTAAGATTTCATTCAAAAAAATTCATGATTAAGTAAGGTAATAGATTACCATGTTAGGTAATAGATTATTGAAACTTAGTTTTGAAGTGGAATTCAACATCCTCTTTGTGATAATCGATTACCTATTCATGTAGTTGATTACCATGGTGACTTTTGAGTGAAACAAGTTGGAAAATGATTGAGATAATCGATTACCAACTTCAGTAATCAATTACCTCTATTCTTGTTTCAACAAATTCAGCTTCATTACAAATCGGTAATAGATTACCTGATATTGGTAATAGATTATTGTTGTGACGAGTTTTTAATGTTGAAATATTATTTGCTCTATAAATATAACTCTTTTTGAAAACTAAAGGATATGATATAAGAAAAAGAAATGGAGAGATGGCATATTTTGATTAAAAAGATCAAAGAGTGAAATAGAAAAAACATATTCAAGAATCTAAAAATAATTTTTGAGTGATGATCAAATATTTTTCAGAACAATCAAAGAGTAAAGAAAATTCAAGAAAGATGTTATCTTGAAAGAAGTTCAAGAAATTCAAGATCGCTGAACAATTATTTGTGGAAGATCAATCTACACATCAAGTGTATCAATTCTGATGTTAAAACTTTTGTTTTGTATGCATGTGTATGCTATGGTGTGTGACTTTTTGAGATAAGGGCATCTCAAGAAAGAGTGACAGAGAAATCTTGAGATAAGTTTTCTCAAGTGGATTCTTGAGGTGCAAGAATTTTGGTGATTGTATAATCTTGTGGGATCAAAATTAGATGATTGTGTCTTCTGATTATAATATTGTTTGTACATGGTGTTTGTAAAGAATATTATAATAGAGAGATTAGATTTAGCGAGGAGCTAAGTCTGAAATTGGATGTAGGCCTTTGTATGGTTGAACTAGTATAAATCGCTTAGCAATTTTTCTCTTTACCTTCATATCTTGTTACATTTCATATTGAATTGATAAAAAGAATTTCAAGAAAGTAAAAAAAACGTTTTCTTAAATATTATAGACAGTTGATTTGTAAAATCTGATATGATATATGCAATTTGGTAATAAAGTGAAAGTAGGTAATCACTAAAATCAATTTGGATTACAACTTTCTATTATGCTGTGTAATAAATCTGATATGCTTTGTATC